AAGCAGATGTATTACTGTATCAGGCAAGTTCCACAAGAGGTGTGGATCACTATCACGGTGCTGTTCATGATTCTTCCGTCTGCTTGCGACAAGTATCTACGCTAGCCCATTACCATATTAGGCAAGTTCCACAAGAACTGTAGATTACAGTCATGCTTATGATTTCTGTCTGTCTGCGACAAAATCCACGGCGATTATTACTGGTTACGGAGTTCTTATCGATAAAGTATACTGCTGTATTAGGCAACTTTTGCAATAGACGTGGATTACTGGACTACAACTGTTGCAAAATGTATGCCCCGTCTGTTTGCGACAAAATCTAGGGTGAGAGTATGTCCTAACCTACACCAGACTATCGGACTAGGAGATGGAACGCGGTACACAAATATTGTTTTTTCCTCATAATTCTAGTCTACTACTTTAATCACGGTTTTCTTTTCTGCTTGGAACACCACTAGAAGAGTTGTGGTTCCTCACACCGCCGCGGAGTGCGTCGCGGGCGGAGGCAGGAGGCATGCGCGACCGCTGTCGCCCCACCCCGCCTACTATACACAAACATTTGACCGTACCAAACTATCGACCCTCTCCCCACAATCCCTTATCTCCGAGACTACCGGGTGTAATACAATCTCCAAAGGAAGATGCGGGGAAATCCAACATAGGTACAGGCGGCGGCATACCCCAATGGCATCACCAGTTTCCGCATGGTGAGGAAGCCCCGCATGTGCTGACCTGGTCTTCCTGCATGCAGCTGTTTTTGACAAAACAAATACTTGCCAGCTATTTACCATCTTTCTTGTGAGCCGCCAGCTGTCTACATAGAACAAACCACTGCGTCGGTTGTTTGATTCGCGACTCTTCTTGTGATGCAAGACCGAAATACCACCAATATGACCGACAAGAACCCCTTGAGCGTTGCGATAGTAGGCGGCGGTATAGCTGGCGTAACTCTGACCATCGCTCTTCTCCAAAAATGTCCACACATGCAAGTCACGCTCTACGAGTCCGCCAGCGCATTTGGTGAAATTGGTGCTGGAGTTGGCTTTCAGCCAGTCATGGTGCGGACCATGAACCTAATCGATCCACGCATCGGCGCTGCCTTTGACAAGTGCAGCAAGGGAAACGACGATGTCTACGACCCGCCGCTGTGGTTTAGGATGAGAGTTGGTGATGAGCGAAAGGAGGATGTCAAGCTGGGTGAGCAGATTTTCGAGCTTCCGGCTAGGAAAGGACCGAGGGGTGGCGTACACCGTGCACATTTCCTGGATGAGCTTGTCAAGCTGGTACCGGAAGGGGTGGCGCAGTTTAAGAAAAAGTTGGTTGATGTAGCAGAGGGAGAGGATGATGATGTGCTACTAAAGTTTGCGGATGGATCGACGGCAAGACATAGTGTAGTGTTGGGGTGTGACGGCATCAAGTCACGCACACGACCCATCGTATTGAAAGGCGACTCTGAGGCGGCCAAAGCTGTCTTCTCGGGAAAGTATGCGTACCGTGGGGTGTTGCCTATGGAAAAGGCGTTGGAGATTCTAGGAGAGTCGGCAAGAGATCCACAGATATTCATGGGATTTCATGGGCACGGTTTCACGTTTCCGATTGCCAATGGAAAAAATGTTCAATGGCAAGTACCAAAACCTTCGGCACCATACCACTGACTAATACTCTCCCAGTGCTAGCTTTCTCCTCAAAGCCTACGTGGGGTGACCCCAACTGGGTAGTTTCAACGTCACGCGAAGATATGCTCGAAGACTACAAGCACTGGAGCCCAGCTGTCCGCGCCATAATGGATAGTCTCCAAAAACCCGACATCTGGGCTCTTTTCAATCACCCACCTGCACCAACCTACTACACGACTAAGCCTCTCATCTGCCTCGTCGGCGATGCCGCTCACGCTTCCACGCCACACCAAGGCGCAGGTGCTGGCATGTGTATCGAGGATGCATATATCCTCAGTGAGCTGCTATCGCAATGTCACACCAAGAGCGATTTGCAAAAGGCATTTTACGCGTACGACGCGGTAAGAAGACCGCGGACTCAGAAGCTGGTGAAGACTAGCCGAGAAGCGGGTATGTTGTGGGATTTTGAAGGAGAGGGTATTGGGGACGATTTAGAGGCTTTGGAGAAGAATGCGACTACGAGGATGAGCTGGATATGGGATCATGAGATTTTGGGTGATCTTGCAATGGCGAAGGACATGATGGCGGAAGCTTGATCACATGTATAGGTTGTAGTGTGCTAGATCGCAAGTGTCTGAGCGGAGTTCAGGCGCATTAACCCATTGCGCAGTGGTAAATAACCATCAAGAATGACAACACTTGAACGATTGAATCAAACTTCGTTAAGGCAAAGTCCTTCTGACGGTCTCTAGTCTCGTCACTATTGATACTCTTGCAAGCACCGAGAGAATACCTCCGGTCCGCTCAAATTCGACATTATCTTTCTATAGTATTATCCTGATCTTCATATGAAAACCCTTAAAGTCCCCAATCCTTCTTAACCTCCCTGCCCATCGCCTTCAGATTCTCCACAATCCAAAGCTGCGCATTAGTAAACACCAACACCGCCCCGGGCAAGAAGGCGAAATTGTTCGTTTCAACCCCGGTCCAGATCTTCCCCAGTAATTTACCAGCTGGGTCCCAGACATGGATACCATCGCCACATCCAGCCCAAACGTTACCATCAGTATCGCAGTGAACGCCATCTGGGAAACCGTTATCCGCATATGCGAACACGCGTCTCCCAGTCAACCTCTTGTGATCCGCGGTAACATCGAATGCGTAAAGCGTAGCCGGGCGTGTAAGATTCCTATCGAAACCCACGGCACCAGTGTCGGAAACATACAAAGTCTTTAGATCAGGGCTGAACTCCAGGCCATTACATTGCACAAAGTCGGTTGCTACAACCGCGATTTCACCCGTAGCAGGGTTGAAGCGGTAGACTTGCTTTGGGATGGTAGGCGCAGGGCGGAAGTTTTGGAAGTAGCCGTAATCCGCGTCTGTGAACCAGAGATCACCTGTTACAGGGTGTTGGCGCACGTCGTTGATGGAGCTGAAGTTTCGGCCGAGGTAGCTGGTGAGAATGCGTTCTGAGGCACCGGTTACGGGGTCGACAGAAACGAGGCCGGCGGGGTTGATCAAGTCGCCCTCGTCGGCGTAGAGGACGCGCGGTGGGGTTGAGCTGTTGCTTTGGGTTCCAGGGGGGTAGTAGGACGTTAGACCGTTTGCTTCGGCGAGGTTGGAGTAGCGCGTTGTGGTGTAGGAGTAGTTGTTTGCAAGGTCGATGATGGTGACGTTGATGGGGTTGTTGAGGTCTTTGGCCCAGTTGCTCGTTACGTATAGTTTGTTGGCATCTTTGTTGTACACACCGCCTTCGTGGAAGGCTTGATGATCTAGGTCGTACAATTGCCTTGCCGTCGCGTTTTCTCCGAGCACAGACGCGAAACTTTGGTCGTAGGCGAGGAGATTGATGGCCGTTGGGTTGGAGACATTGGTCGTGACTAAGGTGGAGAGGTACGACGGATTTGTCGCATAGGACAGCAAATCGACGGGTATAATGCTCGACATGATGTGCGTAACGTACGTAACAATGACTGTGACCCAGATAATAGGTTTTTGCGCATCCATCCCTTTATATACTGATGCCGATCGTCGCGCCGGGTAGCTGTTATCGCCGATATGCGGTGACGTTAACTCGCCACTAGGTACTCAGGTACGTTTACACCGTCATCTACCCCTCAAAAGCGCCGTGGAACTGAGTCGGTGGTTGAGGCTAGTTGGGTCAATGGAAAATTGTCTCTTGCTTTTACCCCAACGCACGTCGCGATCTCCAAGGGATTGGGTGGATTGATGCTCTTGGCGGGGCGATGTGGGGTTGGCCTGAAAACTTATCCAGTGATAAACATGACAGATCCCCAGACAGGTGTTACAGGGTACAGAAGAGGGAGGTCTTCCTACCTTGGAGTGGGTATGCTGTGGAGTGCGCTGTAGTCGCCGTGGTATATACCCCGATGTCCTCGACGCGATATCGCGTTGTGGAAGTAGAGCATCATCGGCATTCATCCGATCTCTAACAATTACATCTCACACGACGCCTTATCACGAACAAACGTCCAAATCCTGAGCTCAGCTGACACCCGATCGATTCAAATCAGCAATGACCTAGTTAATCCAGATACCGCATTTTTCGTGACGACTCAGGTCCTCGGACGCTTTTCTCGGGTTTCCCCTTTGAGATCTCGGCGATGTCGGCATAGATTCCGAGTGCGATGGCTAGGCGAACATGGTGATGTCGGCCGCCTGTTGGCAGATTGTATAACCGCTTGGCTTGTCTTCAAAGAGTAGGTGAAGCATTGGTGAGGACTTATGAGCATCTAGACATGGTATTAGCAAAGCATTCAGGGATAAGTTATCAAGGAGGTTGTCAGCTGACTAAAGCCTGCTTACGAGCACGTGACTACTGGAGCCATGTCAATGTCACCCGTCAACCCATGGACCCATGGACCTCTATAAAGCCAAGGTACACCCACAAAACCTTTCATGGAACGAAGTTCATGAAGATCCCTACTTTCAAGATTCAGTACCATTGAAGGATGCAGCTAGGAGGAAGATGTGGCGGTTTGAGCGCAAAAGTAAAATGGTAAAGTTTGGAGCACGACGGCACCTGGGCACTGCCGCGATATGGAGCGCACCTCATCGGTCAGTCAGTCCGTTTGTTTGTATGCACATGGACAATAAAGACCTTAAGTACAACTGCTTCCGTCTTGCCAGAGGAACGGGACGGCACGGCCGAATCCAGACGGCAGTAATCCGGGCCTTCTGCTCGTTGGGCGTGCGCAATCAATCCTCAATGAGATTTGCTGTTGAACGACAGTCGGTGAAGAGGGCGACAACAGTTGGATGCGAAAGCGTTGCAAAAGCAAACATGCAGCAGACAAGCAGCGGAGATATTTCAGCAACACGAATTCCCAAGGGTCAGCGAGTCATGGTGCACCTGCACAGTTCTTTTGTGAACCCTGGCGCGGTTCGTCGGCCGCTGTCCTCGGCTTGCTCAAGCTTCACTCGGCGCCATGAGTTCGCGACTGCATCGCAGTAACACCATCGCTATAGTCCGACAACGAACATGTATGCGCGTCGCAATCATTACTCGGTTCGGAGTTCGGAGTGCTTGTCAACGGGACTGATTGCTAGCGCGAACAGGTCGTCTTCACCGCACATAGCGCCCCCCATGACCGAGAGCGGGCGGCTAGCCGTCTGCGGGGCGCGCCTGCCTTGACTGTGGACTCGTCTTTGGGCGCGACCGTGAGCGCTCACTCACACTATAACTGTTCCTTCTGCTTTCCTCTCCACGGTCTGTAGCTAATTAGCATGCACACGTCATAACGCCCTACGCCATGTCAGACCACCAACTACCAGTTAAGCAACTGGTGATACTCTGTGCGACGCCTTACCTCGCCTTTTGAAGCTTGCTGACGTATGAATAGCAATATGCCGCTTTGCCGAACCTATTGCCCTCACCTCGGTGTTTCCATACGTGCCCGAGCTCATGGAGTCCTTTGGTATTCCTCAGAATGACATTGCACGCTGGGCTGGTATCGCATCCTCGAGCTTCTCCATATGCCAGGCCTTCACTGGTATTCTCTGGGGTGCAGCATCCGATCGTTATGGCAGGAAGCCAATTATACTCTTTGGCCTGTTCAATACCATGTGGACCATGTTGCTATGGGGGTTTTCGGTAAATCTGCCCATGGCTCTTGCAGCGCGCGCTTTGGGTGGCTTATCCAATGGAAATGTCGGTATATTAAGAACAACCGTGGCGGAGCTCTGTCCATGGAAAGAACTGCAGCCGAGGGCCTTTAGTGTCATGCCGCTAGTATGGACTGTTGGTGCAACCTTTGGACCTACGCTGGGCGGTGCTCTAGCCAATCCATTGGGTGTTGATCCGCGAAAACCAAGAGGCGATGCATTCCTTGCAAGGTTTCCCTATGTCCTACCCAACATCGTAGCTGCCGGATTCTTTACCACAGGAATCTTGGTCGGCTGGTTGTTCCTCCAAGAGACTCTTGAAAGCAAGAAGCATGCACCGGATCTAGGATTGAGAACTGGGGCCAAACTAACTGCCTTTTTCCGCAGAGTATTGCACTTACCCTCCAACAAGAAGCATACCCAGTCCGAACGCGAACCCCTTCTTAGTCAACAGAAACCACGCGATAGCGAGACAACTGTAGACGCTACCATCAAAGTGAAGGAGAAGTCACCGACGATTCGAGATGCTTTGACATATCAGACTTCATTGAACTTGATCGTGTATACGCTTCTTGCCATGTATACTCAGGCATACGACCAGGTACGTGTAGTCCTCGCCACACGTGTACTCAGACTAACCAGATACAGCTACTGCCAGTCTTCATGCATCATCCTGTACAGCAAGCAGGCGATGCTAATGTGTCTCTCTCTCTCAAATTTGCCGGTGGGTTCGGTATCGAATCTCGCCGCATCGGCATCATCTTCACCATCTTCGCCGTCTCGAGTACACTGTGCCAATTCCTGCTGTTCCCACCCATTGCTCGTACACTTGGCGTCCTCCGCTGCCTGCGCATAGCCTTTTTGATCTTTCCATTCTGCTTCTTCGTGACGCCCTTTCTGTCGCTCATTCCTGATCCACTCACTCGTGAGATTGCCATGGTGGCTTTGTTGATGGTCAGAGGTGTGGCCGGTACATTTGCCTTTCCGACAAGCACAATCATGCTCACAAACAGCGCGCCCAGCCTACGCGTACTGGGGACCATCAACGGTCTAGCTACGAGTTTTAGTGCATTTGGAAGAGCGGCAGGCCCTACGCTAGGCGGCGGACTGTTCACATGGGGTGTCAAGCGTGGCTATGTCATTGTGCCTTTCTGGGCCATTGCTGCAGTCGCATTTATTGCGGCGATACCCACCTTCTGGCTTGTTGAGGGCAAGGGATTCGGCGACGACCCTGACATCGACGATGAAGAGAATGTGATCATGACAGAAGATGCCGAGGTGGCTGATGATGCTCTTCAAACATGTTCGCCCCTACCAATATATGATGACAACACGCTGTCCGAGTCGGAATTTGGCGACGTAGGAGAGACGCCGAACATACTGAGTTATACCAACACGAGGTCAAGCGCAGCCATGGCGTCCGATGATGAAGAGGATACGTTAGATTTTGTCAGTCGTACAGAATCAATGAACACGTTGACGCCGACGGCGAGTCGCTCGCAGGGTAGAAGGAACACTGTGAGGAAGAGGTCATCAGTGCCGATTGGCATGGGCATAGGATTTAGACGATACAGTTCCAATCTCGGTAGCACGGGCATCGGAGGTGGAGGTGCTAGCTGGGGAGGTGCATAGGCTTTCTTTTGAGCGAGTATTGGATTTGGCGTTTGGCAACAATATCAAAATTGGAACTTCACTAATGTATCAACTGGATTACGACTGCTCGTTTGTCTTCTCTAGCCAGTGGTCTGTCGGGCCAGCATTGTACGTGAATCTCACGCAAGTATGGCGGGAGTCGAGTCTGAGAAGCCGGAAAGAGACCTCATGTCACTCAAATGAGATGGTGTCCCCTGGCATTGGGATATTGCTATGGTACCTAATTTGATCTATTATTCTCACTGTTTATTCGTCTTAGTACTCCATATCCTACCTGTACTTCACAAATCACCACTATACCAACATCTCACTCACCAACATCCCACTCACCAACATCCCACTCCAGATATCCGCCTTTCCCCTCTCCCTTCACTCTAGGTAGAAGCTGGGCTATTCCATCTCCTCTTCAAGACATTCAAAGCATCGCGCTTGAGGCAAGATACAGTGTGACATATTCCCAAGTCTTCAGTGCAGTGTCGATACGTATTAAGTAACCATGGAAGCGTAACGCTAGTAAGTTTTCTTTTCTTTTCTCTTGACTTTTTAGTGAAAAAATAAGGGTTGTTCCGTCGTGGACTTTGAAAGAGGCCGTATTACAATTCCGGTAGATCTTTCAAAGCCTGATTAGTGGGCGTGATGCTGTTACGATATAGCTTATGAATGGGCTGTGAGTGTTTAGAGGTACCGCGAGAGCGTGGTTATGTATGCATTGCTACACTTGAGCATATAATATGAGTGACCTGAGTGCGGAAGTGGGTGTGATGAGGTAGTTACACTTTGTTCAGTATTTGGAATTAACACTGGGCTAGGTCCGATTTTGGGGGTGGGACTTCAGCTGAGCGAAGATATAACCTTCGTGTTGAGATGGGTATCGTCGGATGTCTGGAGGTTATGGAAGGAGACAATGCCATTGATTGTTATGGCTCTGGTGTGTCAGGGGACTGGCTGGGGTAGGTTCGACGGCAATGCGGTATTGCGTGTGGAAACACGACCGTAAGGGAATGACGCGTCAGAAGTACGTGGTTAGACGAGATCTTTCATAGTCGTATTTTCTAAATGTTGGGGACAGACTCCGCAACAATCAATCCAGATTGGTCAGATTGATTGATTTGATTGGTCATTTGGAGTTTTTACCAACTCAATCAACTCAATCTAAGCTTTTCAAAATAGCTAATCAAATCAACTTGCGAAGGTCAGATTGATTGATTTGATTAGTTAGATTGATTTATTATTAACGAGTTGTAAGGCGAGTAGTGTCGTATTAAGAGAAGGTTTTTGGTGTTGAAGATAGTTATCTTGGACCCCTATCTCGCTTAGCTTGTGATCCCTGTCGGCCGGGCAAGCCAGTCTCTATGCATTCACTTCTCACCAGCTAGCTCTCCTCTTATAGGACTAGCTCCTTCTGCTTAGGGGCTAGCCTCTTCTAGGCTTCACCCCGCACCTATATAGCTAGTCCTTCGCTGTTCTTAATACAACAACGATTTCGCTCACTCAGTTCCCTAATAATCCCTTACACACAACACTAGTTGCCTAGCTACCTATACAGACATTTTTCTTTAGTGTTTAGTATCGCCCACGATGGCCAAACGCTCTCGAGTTCCCACCAATACTGCTGCCGCCGCCGCCGCCGCCAAACGGGCGCGCCTATCAAGGCCCTCTGTCCTATCTCAGCGATCGCTGTCGCCTCAGGAAACCCTTGGCGCCGCCGTAAGCCAGGCCACAACGTTTGAGTCGCAATTTTTCGAGTCGCAAACAGAGGAGGAGGGTGCGGCTGAGGGCAGCCAGGCTGGTACAGCAGCAACAACAGAGGCTAGTGTTGATACAGAGCCTGATAATGGCGATAACTTTGACGGCATTAACTGGGATCGCCTCCCTCGGTTCATGAAGCCTCTTACAACTGGGCGGCGCGTCAAGAGTTGGATCTTTCAACATGGATATCGCGTTGTTGAGCTCTACGATCAGAATCGAGTGTGGTTTGTATGCAAATACTGCCACATCCACAAGGTCATTGACACTGGCGGCAGTGGAGTTTTTGACGTATCAAAGGCCACCTCCTCAGCTGCAGCTCATCTTGGCCTTCAGAAACGAGGCCATGGCTTTACAAAAGACGGCCTGAAGCCTCGAAGAACAGGGCAGCAACTCTCTCTACGACAGACGCTGGAGACTGGTGTTGCAGTCTCTCAAGAGGCTGCCAACGCGATGGGCAACTTCAACATCCAGCAGTTTCGTGAAGTTGCAGTGTTCTGCCTTCTTGATAACAACTTGCCAATGGAGCTACTTGCAAGGCCGTCCTTTCGCGAGATGATTAGCCTTGCAAACCCAGAGGCAGAGGCAGCTTTGTGGGTAAGTCCTCGCAGTGTAGCTACCTACGCAATGCGCCTCTTCCAATATATGCAGCCACAGATTGTCTGCGCTCTGTCAGAAGCTGCAAGCAAGATCCACATAAGCTTTGATGGTTGGACGACAAAGGGTGGCAAGCGTGGATTCTTTGGAGTCGTTGCACACTTTGCTAACGCCTCTGGAGTGATACAAGATCTCCCCATCGCCCTCCCACATCTCGCAGGCTCTCATACTGGTGATGCTATCGCTGATACAATTAAAAAGACGCTCCAAGAATACAGTATTGGGAGTGATAAACTCGGCTACTTCGTCCTCGACAATGCTGCAAACAACGATACTGCAGTCTCCTCGCTCGCCCACGCGTACGACTTCAACGCTGCTCACCGACGCCTCCGCTGCGGCCCTCACACGCTTAACCTTATTGGCCAGGCAATTATCTTTGGCAGCAATCAAGAGGCGTACAACAACAACAACGACGAGCAGCTCCAAACAGAGGAGGTGTACATGCAGGAGTGGCGTCAAGAAGGGCCCTTAGGTGTACTTATCGACGTTATCAACCATATAAAAACGCCTCAACAACACGAAATTTTCCGAAGCTTCCAAACCGCCGCCAACGCCGAGTTGCCAGCTAGAGAGCGCCTCCACGTACTTGAGCCTGTGAAGCCTGTTGTTACACGCTGGAACTCTTACTACGCTGCCTTCAAACGCGCAACTCAACTCCAGGCAGCATACAACTCTTACGCTGAGCACTACATTAACGCACTCTCCCTTGAAGATCGCCGCGCTTGTCAACGTGGCAATAAACTCCCTGAAGCACCTAGTTGGATGAGATCAACAGGACTTACAGCTGCTGATTGGGCGGTGATAACAGAGTATCAGGACTGCCTAGAGCCGCTTAAGCTTGCTACGGAGAAGCTTGAGGGTCGCGGAAAGGCAGGCAAATACGGCGCTATATATGAGACTATTCCTGTATTTGAATACGTACTTGGCGCGCTCGAAGCCCGTACGCGCTCGTACGAGCAAGTTGACTTCAACCCACCTGATGCGCCTGAAGATCACCTCTTTGTTAACCTCCGCGCCGCCTGGAGTAAGGCCAACGATTACTACAACAAGCTCGATCGATCGCCAGCATACTACGCTGCTACCTGCCTCCATCCATACTACAAATACTACTGCGAGAACAGCTGGGTGGATAAGCCAGAATGGCTAACATCAGCCAACGCTGGCTTCCTGCAGCTCTGGCAGTCGTATAAGCCTCAACGTACACGTCCTCTATCTCAAACAACTGCAAAACCAAGGCATAGAGGAATAGATGATGTGATTGGCGCCCTCGTACGGCGCAACAAGGCTCAGGTAGAGGCTGCCCACGACGATGAGTACGAGCGCTGGAGAACTCAAGAGCCAGAGTGGACAAGCGAACAGTATCTTAGCGATGGCCACCCAGTCAAGTACTGGATTCAATTACGCTCAAAATACCCGTGTTTAAGCCAGTTTGCGATTGATATACTCACGATACCAGCATCTAGTTGCGACTGCGAGAGGCTCTTTAGCGAGCTTGGCGATTTACTTGAGCCGCGCCGGCGAGCTCTTGGCAGCGAGTTACTTGCTGCCCTTCAGCTTGTACGTTCGTGGAGACGAGCTGGCTTTGACGGCTTGTACAACAACGGTGATGATGAAGATAAGTGGAGTGACGTCAAAGATGAGGAGATTGTACAACAGTACGATATAGAAGGCTGGAGTACAACACCATAACCCCCTGTATACTACTTCTTAGCATCAATCAGCCAATCAACCAATCAATCGCAATCAATCTGCTCAAAAACCCTAACAATCAATCCGCAATCAATCAGCAGCGTCGCCGCAAGCTAATCAAACCAATCGACAACCTTAAGATTGATTGATTTGATTGTTGCGGAGTCTGGTTGGGGAGTTCAGCTCTTAGGTGTTGGCGGTTCCATAGCAGAAGACATGCAATGTGTTTTTGTTGTCTGGGTGTATGAACAGATGAGAGTTAGTCTCAGTTATGAGCTCATATTTGGGGATTTCTTTGGCTTTTCACCAATCGCTAGTCCAATCAGGAAACCAGAGAAGATAGTAATTTGATCCAGTAATATTGCCAGGAAGCCCTCGTTGATTGGTATCGAGATGCAGTCTCAAAGTGACAAAGCTTGATCGAGATTGAAGTAAGACATAATATTTAACGAGAAGTTTATAAAGGTATAGATGAAAACTGTCATGTACTGAGTATAAGGTGTTGGGGTAACACCTTAACTGCTTTTTTATATTGCTGTTCACTACAACAATACTGCGTTGTGAAAACCTGCTGCTAAGCATTGATATCACTTACATATATATCTATATAAAGGTATAGATTGACATGATTACCTCTATGTCATCCACACTCATCGGGGCAGTTGGTAGCTAGGTAGTCCATGTTTGGTTCAAGATATGTATTCACGTGATTGCTTAGCAAGCCCTGGAGACGTTGAAGTCCTACTCAACAGATATGCGCAAGCCTACCAAGTAAAGTAAATAGATCTCAGCTGTCTAAGAGTCAATTCAAACCTGTAAATTGTAACTATGATTGCTGTATGTATGTGAAAGTAACATTTGCTGCGTCCTCGGTGGAACGGAGATCGCGCGGAGATCGATCGGAGTAAATGTACCTCACCACTCCCAGCCTCCAAGGTATCTTGAGAACTAGCCTTGCGCATCCATCGATGGCGAGTAGTTCGTGATGCAACTGCGAAACTCTCTGAAGGGTTCGACATGTTGATGCGATACTGGTGTAAGGTGGGATTTGCTTCATGCCTGAAACGCCCGCTGTTTTGGCCTGATGTCTCAGGCTCCACTGATATATCAACACGAGCAGTGGACTTTGGGCGACGACTTCTTGCCAACACTCCTCTATAATCTGACGGCTAATTCTAAAGCATTGGAAAATACTGGCTGTACGCATCGAGACTCAAGGCTGGGTACAGTCAGAAGACGTCGTCATGGTGAGCGATCATTGCTGCTAATCATGCATTGAGGCAACACGAGGGCCAAGTACTGACCGTCAGAATGCCGGACCCATTTCGCCTTCTTGCTTCCACGGCCAGCATGAAGCCGACAAAAGCTATATTGCCGGTGGCGTAGATCTTGATGGAACCCGTGGATCCCTTGAACCACATGCGACAAGCCAACCACTGGATCAACACGCTCGGACAACATTATCGCGCGCGACTAGACAATTCAGGGACAAAGGAGCAGTATATATGCTCATGCCTAAGGCTACAAGGAAGAGCAGAAGGTCGGACAGTGCTGCCACTAGAGCCAAAACGTAGGCGGCGCAAAAGCAACCACACATATCTCAGTGCCTGGGCCGACCGCCACGGAGGAGTTCATGATTAAACCCATCAACACTAAACATATAGCAGAAGCGAGCACTGGCTATAGTGCCCATCGCTAAGTCTCACAGCCAACGACGCGCGCGTTGGCCGAAGCCACCTGGCAATATCCGTCGCGCTATTGCGCGTCGAATAATATCTGCCAACGCATCAACAGGGTACTATCGTCAGCGTTGGGGCGATATCGACTGGGCAAGGGCAGAGGGCGAGTGTGTTGGATCGCTCGCTACCAGATCAGGCCCACAGTGTACACAGCAGCTCAGTGGTCTCCGGACAGATCAGGCCGATCAACAGTGTTTTCCCGGAGATAGTTTCCTGTCTCCCGTTGGACGATCGAGGGGGCTTGGGCTGTGAGCAGGGTGTTTGCAACCTGCTCGTGGAGCGATGTGAGTGAGACCACTGTGGTCATTCGTTCAGCCAACCGTCACGGTGTCACTGCTGGGAACCCGCTGCTTGCCAGCCTGCACACGCAAACCACACAACGCCAGGTTACAGTTGATGCAACACCATCTTTTTCCGGTCTTTGTTACCGGGCCCGAAGTCCTTCGGCTAGCTATGTCCCAGTCAATACCCCTTGGTGGCGGAAAGGCTCTGCCAGTGACAGAGAGCGAATCGATTGCAGGCGCCAGCTCTGTATCTGACGGGCTGGAACCAGGAAGCCAAACAGCTACGTGGCCAGCTTCAACAGCTTTCACGTCTTAGAAGTCTACTGGGCCACCCATCGTCGATGCAGGAGTGTTTTTTTTTCATTGAACACTCGATGGATACGGAGGGCCGGCACTCAGAACAAGGAGCGAGAAACATCCAGTGACGTTAGCTATCTCTTGGTATGATTCTAATTCGTTCTCTATGGGTATTTGTGCCGTACTGCAAACTTTTCTTTTGACACTCAATATCCAACACCCAGGGGCACAAAACAGCAAGATGGTTTAGGAATCAGGCCATGACTGCAGTGTTTTACTTGCAGGTTCCATGCAAAGTGGACTCTAATTGCATCTCGGCATCAACAACAAAGTTCAGTACTGTGTCAGCCATCAAGCTGAGAGACTTGGTGGCATGATGCACATGCATCTCCCCTGGGGAAATATAGTCAGGATCATAGCCCGGTGATGATAGGGTATTCAGATCAAACCACAGCCTTGCCTGTGCCGCACATCAAGGGCGTCTCTTCTGATATCCGACCATGACCAGTCCACCTCGCCAGACTCAAGACACATATCTGCAGTCAGTACGACATTCACTCTCTCAAACGAGTCTAATCGCTGTTTGTCATAGTGCAACGGCACTTCAAGAACATCCGGTATCGCTTGCGAGAAGCCACACTGGGCAAACGGCTTCTTCCATGGCCCTTGGGAAGGGTGCCAAGCACTCACGCAAGAACCGTGTGCAGCCGTTATGGGAAGCGGAGCCCATATCAGCTCCCCATATAGCCTGTGTACCACGCCTCACGCATGACCTGTGTGACTGGAAACACGCAACTATCCCGTACAGACTATTGGCCACGACTCCACTTTCCCTTTCTTACATCCGTCCAATGTCAGTTTTGCGGGCCGTTGGCGGCGGCGCTGGCATTCACGCACGATGCACGCTTGCAAAAGAGGATATTTTGACGCTACTGTACAGCGGCTCCGAGTAGTCGCGGCAAACGTCAAAAACTTTAACATGGCCCCAATACGAACAGTACAAACTAGCAAGAGGAGCCGGACGATACGAAGCCCAGCCCATTTACCAGGCTCCTGGTTCTTTGCCTCTTGACTATTGTTTCTGATAGTGCAGGCCGGGGCGACGGCAACAACGGGCATGGTGCAGCACTCAACGTCTGCCGGAGTATTAGTCGTACCCGCTCCACACCATCATCCTTTGACAGGGTTTCGAGCACACGCAGGTGTTGACGGCGCCAGTGCAGCGTCACGCAGCGAGGAACCGAGCTAGCAAGCCCTTGGAGACAATCGTGACTGCAGGCGATGCTCAAGCCAACCGGTCAAACTACCAGTAGCGGAGATGAAGATCAATCAATAGTTCCCCGGTGGAGCGTCAACGGAGCCCAAAGGTGGAGGTTGGAGGTGTGATGCGGCTTGGAGCAGAACGTCCGGGAAGGCGCTACCCTTGCCTAAAGCGGGAATCTCGCTCATCGAGCGGCAGAAAGACATGGTGCGCAAACGGCTTCATGGTTCAGAGTCCCCCACATCTGACTGTATCTGTACGTATCTATTGCGGCATTGAGCACACGCTCGATCGGTTGCGGCGCCACTCTGCAGCGTGAGCCTGTCTAGCACACCACATCAATAGTGACATAGATCGATGACCTCGGATAAGCGAGGTACTGATCAGGTGTCAGACTCGATTTGATCACCACACTAACGAACATGCCGTGTTTCAATGAACTCCCCACATCCCGACCGGTTGAACCCTGCATCCGCGGTGGTGGCTATAAGCCATTCTGCTCACAGACCAGAAGCGAGACACATGTGACGATGATCACAAAACTGCGATCTCCGCCCTCTGTCACACCTCTTCTTGACTCCCTACTTCTGTATGATTAGATAGTAAAGATAGAAATCGCCCCATGGAAGTTTAAAGGTGAAACAATTGCCACTGTTGCTGGCCAAGTTTGGAAACCAATGGGCACTACCAAGAGCGCAAAACTTGAGGCTATCCAATATTCCGTGCAGACGCGCGCTGATCATCGTTGCTTGTCTTTCCGCTTTCGCGTTCGGCGTATCTCGATTATTACCCAGTTTGGCGCGCTTCCTTGTCGTTATCTGTCGGCTCGCGTTTCTTGTATACCTCTGGGAGGAAGCGAAAAGCGGAGTGCACGTCAATAAGCGATCGCCTCGGCATACATACGACCTAGCGATGGATGGGCACACGGGGCGACTTATGGGGAAGCGGCCTAGCAGGCGGCAAGGGAGTGCACGGTTAGGCCGTATGGCAACTATTGACGAACATGCCTGTGTCTGTGCCGGGATGCCCATGGTAGCGGGTACCTACGTAAGTATTGAAGGCTTCATCATCAATATCAGCAGCTCACCGGACACCGATGCCTCTAGCAGATATAGCGGCCGAGATGTTGATACAACCAAGTCTTTGCCCCTGGTTACTCCCTAATCCAGCTTGTGCGTACCCTGCGGCGAGCCCATTACGTGCGCGTGGCCACCACCACCTTTGCCTTCGCTTCGCGCCGGCAAGTGACTGCGCTGGTTTGTTAAGGCCAGGGTTCGGACAAGGTTGTCAGCCGTTTGACAGACGCGTTGAGTGGAGGAGGAGCGATCTTAAGAACAGGGACTAAGGGATCGTGCGTTCTGAAACAGTTCACTGGCTCGCAGAAAAAAAGAAAAGTAAACCTACGAACGAGTAGGAAGCCAGCAAGCCAACACGATTTAGCCTCTTCCGAGTTTTCCTGGTGCATTTTCTTGTCTCTCTCGTCTTCATCGGCAGCTCAACCGCCTCGTTTACACGGCCTTTTGCGCCAAAGGGTTGTGCTTTTCCGGTCAAACCAGCGCGCCCCCCTCTCTCTCCCGTCCCTACTTCGTTCACTTGTCCGCAGAATCGTGTGAGCTTGGCAATGCAAAGTTGACCGTAGTGCGCCCGCGGCAGCAACACGTACAGTTGGAATCGCGCCTTTTTTTTTCTTTCGACCGCCTCCCGCGCGCATGCATCCGTGAATGCACGTTCGGGCTCGCTCTTTCTCGTCTCTTCCCCTCGCAGAGGGCCCCATTTGGCGCAACAGTAGCGAGGTGTGTGCGGAAACAATCTATCACTAACCCGGGTGTTATAAGCAGGGATAAGGGGACCAAATACGGCATGGTCGGCACGCGTTCTTAATATCGAAAGTATGACGCGTTTTTGCCTTTGGCGAGTGAAGAGTATGTATGTGTGATTGCAATAGCAGAGGGGTCATTGCTTTGGTATCGGTGGTTTGGGGGGAGGAGTTCGGGAGCGCACGTGGTGATGTTGGGCAGCGTGAAGTGTACATGATTGTTTTGGTGCTAGTGCGAGTGTCAGAGCACAAAAGTATCTGAGCACCGACCGTTAGCTGCGGTACCGTAGGAATATTACGCGAGAATTGTATAAGCAAGTCAGAACGTTTGTCGGCGGCGTCTACGCGTTCGCAGACGGAAGAAGAAAGAAATGTGCCAAGTTGATGTTCTCTTTTTCCTACGCCTCGATACTATGTAGGACACTGTGGCGTTGTTGCCATCATGCGCATAGTGTTCTCATCACGGTCTACGTAGATGCCGTTCAAAGCCCTGAAAGCGGCGCTACCATCTCAAATCCGCCCCTCTATCTTGTGGATCTCCTTACCAGAGTGATCATATACCCATAAGCAAGCAAACTCAGATGACCCTCTTCCAAATACCACCAAAATGTCCGCCCGCTATCTAACCACACCCGTCCGGAGCGCATACGACCGGCCGGCCTGACCTCCGAGCGGGCCAGTGCAACAATCAGAAAACAGCAAGTCTAGCGCTTACGAGCCCACCTTATGCCTTACACGATGACCTCTCTTTTCGGCCTTGAGCCGGTTTTTGAGATGACGTGGTGAGCAAAATACGCAGGGCTGGCACTATGAGAGCCGAGAATGAAAGCAAATATGCCCTTCGGATCCGCGGCCAGGTATGACCGATCTGAGACGCTGTGGTCAGGGGGCGAATATACAGCGTCGCAAACGGTTTGGCAGGGGGCGAACGAGCAGATCTGAAACTCAACAGTCCAACGTTGTTGAGACAGTGTCCATACAGCGGCCTTTCTATTTTTTGGCCCGGCCAGACGCGCACCTTCCCTTGCTCTTTGTCTCTCGAGTCCCCACCTTTGAGAGATGTCCGTGTATGCATAAAGTATGGGAGTAGATATTTGGGGTATTGGATTGCGAGCTTATGATTTACATAATTGTTGCCGAAAGGGGGCGATTGCGTATAGTGTGGTGCGGTACGAGTACGGACTGCTTAAAATAGTGTGATAGGACCATGTGGAGACGGACGGAAAGTTTTACGTGTGGTGATGAGGTGTACATGTGCGATGACATGTTCAAGGAAATGAGGCCATGCGTGAATATTGCGTTATTACAATCGGATGAAATTGGGAATAGGCGCAAAGAATAGAATTCTCAGCTCCAATAAAGTACCAAGATGTAGGAGTGTAAAGAAAATGTTTGTAAAGCGTGTCGCGACATGGGATGCGCGACGTATTATCGTAGAAGCAAAACAAGAAGCGCTGCATAAAGTAGCAAATGTAAGACAAGTACCGCCAATGTTGTACAAAGGGAAACCACAAGAAAGCAAAGAAAAAGAATAAATCAGACCAATGAAAATGCGCCCCTTGTAACTCTGCCTGGGTATCTTTCCTCCTCTTGACTCCTTGTTGACACATCCTCGAGACACCTGTTTTGTTGTCGCCAAAGTTCTTTTGCCAGTCTTTGAGGTATGTGCCGAAACAGTTTGCCGAATCTTTCCCATGCCGTTCCATCATCTCAAATCCTAAAACCCACCGTATGATGTTTCCCCGTCTGAGCCCAGTCGCCAACGCCGGCCGTAATGCTGGATCCGCTTGTAATGTTTGCGCGTTCAAAGGATAATCTGTAGTCCCCGTAGTATGCAGTTGTTTAGAAGGAGCGTGTAGAAGAAGAGAAAGGGTATACCGTGGCCGAAATCGTGGTACGTCGTAAAGGAAGATGTAATGATTAAAATGCATGTATACCCCAAAGAAGTATCGCGAATGCTGGAACCGGTCTCGATGAGGACGTTTGTGGCCAGCACAAACCCCGCAATGCCTCCCCTCTCCCTCGTACTCCCAAACTACCCCTCCGATCACCAGGCACGGAGGCCCTCGAATTGGCCAGCCATATTCTCCAGCTGACGGTCGGCCAGTCACTGGTAGCTTTGGCCAGGGTCGTTCGGCCCGGCTGTCATTTGCGACGAGGAGTAGGCGCTCTGGTGCTGTTGATGTTGCTGTTGTTGTGAATGCTGCTCGTCGTCGTCGTCCTCGTGCTCCGCCAGCTCCACGGCCTCGAGTTGCTCGGCCTTGTCTCTGCATGCAGTAGGCGAAAAGCCACTGCCCACCTTTGAGGAAATGATGCGCCAACGGTCGTTCTCGTACTCCTGCATAGCGTTGCGAAGCTTCACTACCTGTCACCACTTGTGGTTAGCACGTTCAAGGTTATGGTCGCAATGCACGACGTCGTGCGTTTCATGACTAGTGTGACAACTTACCATCTCGTCTGTCCAAACTGTCGTCTTTGCTTTGAGTTTGGTGCAGTATCGTACTTGCAATGTGCCAGAGCTGCGGCCCGGGAAGAAATCTGCAATTTGTTTCCAGGTGAGGTTCTTCTTTTCCTTGAGGTCGACTAGTAGCTGGTCGTCTTCGGGGGTGAACTTGAGCTTGGGACCGCGGGGTCGCTGCGCGGGTGGGGGCATTCCCTCTTGACCCACCACGCTCGGTGGGCCATGATGCTGTGCGAGAGAGGGAGACGCGCCCTCCATTGCGTGATGCCTCTTATTGCGATGCGTGCTGGGTAGATGGTGGTGATGGGTGGGGGGTAAAGTAGACTGCGGGGCTGGCGGCGGCGGATACTGTTGAAGGGAGTAACCCTGGGAAGCGTGCTGTAGTGAGACACTTCCCGTTGCTTGTACGTACGGGTTGAGTTGCTGCTCTAAACTCGGAGGGAGGTCGTGCTCCAAGTCGTCCTGGTGGCTTCGCTTGCGTCCGGCGGTCTGTTGAGGCGGCGGTGGGTAGCCCACGTTGTAGGAGGATGGAGAGTGTTGCGACATAGAGTGATGTCGCAGCAGATGGGGTTGGTGTAGTGAATGGGTTTCGATGTCTGTGTAGGTTGGGTGGTGGGTGGTGCCGGCATGTTGGAGTGTTTGAGACGGGTGTGGCTGCAGGAACGAGTGGTGGTAACCCGGAGGCAGGCCGGCATGAGAATGGAGGACATTTTGATGTTCGACGTTTGAAGATGGTATGTGATGTGATTCCCCGGCATCGCCTTGTACGGTGTAGTCGAGGAAAGGGCCTCGATAGGGACTCGCCAGTGTTGCGAATACGCATGGAGACTACCAGAGCTAGCTTGCTCTGGCAGGCCGCCGTATGAGACCTTGGCCAGAAAAAAAAGGTTGCTAGTTTGGGAAGGTTTTGGTGGGTGAGAGCAAAGTGTCGCAGACGTCTGGGTATTTCAAAAATTTGTTATATTGACAAATGTTGGAGCAAGAAGAGCTTAGGGGAACGCGCCATCAGTCGAGGTCTTATCTTGTGTGTTAAGCGTTGGGGTAGCCGGATATAGGTTGTAGCCTTGTAGGGAACAAACGAAAAGTAGGTATGGCTGGGGATGCTCGTGGAATATAAGATATTCGTGCCTGAGGGGAGAAGGCATTAAGCATTTCGGGCAATACGTCCCTTACAAAGCCCGGTCCGTCTTGTGCGATTGCCACACGGACACAGAATCCAAGCATGTACAGCAATGGGTCCTTCCCACGAGACGCTCTGTTCCTGAGGAGGACCAATTGAGCTTAGTAGGGAAGACCCAGGAACTGATTCTACGTCAAGCATAATGCGGTGATCAATGACAAGGACGAACCCCCCGGCACACGATCTGGACGAGTACAATGCTGCCCGGCTCGTGTTGTGAGTGGCCACTGATGCAAAATGAGCTGGGCATGAGGTACTTTGCCCGGCCGGCGAGGGCCAGTGGGGCCCGGAGGCGCGCGCGGGCCAGGCTATGGTCGTTTATTTCTAGAAAGCCGCCAGAAAGATCTCCAGCGCCGTTGCGGTGTCTGCAGGAAGGATCCTGGCGCGGCGTGGTGGCCAGGAGATGTGCATTGAGGACGTTCTGAACCGGCTAGCGACGCAGCCAGGGGCTTTGATGGGCAAAAGCCCAAAGAGGTAACGCCACCTGCGAGCCCTCTATGGCACATGGGAGCAGTCAAAGTCTACCAGAAGCGGAGCCAGGACCGCGGGGGGAAGCTGCTCGGGTCCAATTCGGGGGCGAATGCGTCAAGCGGCCTGTCAGAGGGTCGCGCGACCGTGAGGGCATTCGCATGGCCAGGCCATACGCCTGGCATCATATCATCCGCCGCCGGGTGTGCCTCAGTTGCGGCTCCAAAAGGCGTTCTTCATGCCTGGACAGGCTGAAGTGCCTGCAAGAGCGTGAGCCGGCTGCGGGGCCCATGGAGGCATGATGCTGCTGGCAAAGACGGTACTCGGATCAGGGCAAAACAGTTGTCTCTGCCGGCATTTGCGCTGCCGTAGCACCCGCCGCCTACAAGCAGTGGGACCGAGCGGTGGGCAGGCCCTGGGACATGGTTCTCTAACGCATAGGCATGGTCCGCCTCAGATTGGCTCATGCGTGGGCCGTTTCAACGTATACATTACCACCCCGGCCTATATGCGCTTCGTCATCCCCCCCAGGAGTTGGGATCTACCAGCCACATCAATGTCCCGACGCCCGCATCAGATGACGCAGCACCGCGCACTGCAGAGCCAGTGTGAGCAGGCGTACTTGCGGGGGGTGCTGGTGGCAATCAGTCAGAAATGGCCGCTACAGGCTGCGGAAAACACCGACGGGCGGCGGCTGGCATCAAGCATTACGCTGACCATGACACAGTACCGGCCGTTGCGCGCCGTCAGGCCTTGTGGGGGAAGAGGGAAGGGAAGGGGAAAGCAAGCGAGACGAGCCAAGTCAGCGTGAGCGACTCGGCTGCGATTCCAACTCTTCAGAGTACGCCAGACGCTAAAATCGGGATCGATAGCGACAGCTTGGCGCTACTAACGCGGCCGCGATCTGCCCGCCCCGAGCCTCGCATACATCTCATCTCTCGACCGCATGCACGAGATGAGCGCGCTGTTGCAGATGGCGCATCGTGAAGTCCAATGCACCACCACGGCCCTCGACCATACCGTCGCCGTCACGGCTTCGCGGGCTCCGGACATGATTTCTGTTCCTTTACGCCATGCCGCTGCATGTCCGCCCACTGCCCACACGTGACAGATACACGACCGGTGCACTCCCTGGCCACGGCCTAGGATCTCCCTGCCTCTGCATCCTTCGCAATGACCTCACCGTAGTCGCGATGTGTGGCTTTCAGGCCCCTAGCCAGCTGCCAAAGTCCAACTACTCGACCAGCGGCGCATTAACCATTTAGGCTATGCGACGTTTGCGAACCATAGGCTATGACACCGTCGCAAACCATAGGCTCCTTGCTCGAGCACGCTCACTGCAACACACCGCGCATTCCGCGACTAGGCCGTCATCTCACTGTGTCAAGACCGCTGCGCTGCGCCCACCACGGCCGTGGCCGAGTTGAGTAGAAGCACGTTGCAGTGCATGGTGGGCGACAAAACTATGTCCCTCCTTGCCTCATCCCTCAACAAATCCTTCGAGCACATGTCGACTTCTGTATCCCACGACTTGGACAAAGAGTGCGTTTCAACCACGAACTGCGCCCGTTGAACTGGTTCGGCACCGCAGCCGGAACCCACGTCTGCTCATTGCGTCGTTACGTCTGGCTCCTGCGACCTGGGCTGCTATCAAAATGGCTGATCGTACGAGCAGCAGAAGGAACACCATCCACCGTGCCCCTCTTGCTACACAGACGGCGCGCTGCCTGCTCGTGCCACGGGGGTAGCCAGCTGCTGGCCGAATGCGCACATCGGCAAGCGGCACATGGAAGAAGCAGCGCGTTTACCGTCTGGCCATTCAATGAAACATTCGCTTGAACCGTTGCAGCTGGCGAAACCAACGCATCGTTGGCGTGAAACAAAGATACACCTAAGATCGACCAATAGCCGTTATTACCATACCATGTTCTGGGAAGCGTTCCCCCACGTTTGACAGGTCGTTATGTCATGGGTAGACTACCAACTATTACTACGTAAAAACATGGCGGATATCATATCCATGATATGGACACCCCGCATAGACCCATTGCCGAATCCCGAGCTGTAAGAAAACTGAAACTAGAAAACCGACATGATTGACCGTTATCACCGGATTCCCCTAGACATTTTAGAGGGAGAAAAAAAAAGTCGGCAGGTTTCCTTGTACTCCACCGCCAAGAACCATGTCCGGAAACACCAAGAAGGACGAACGGGATGCTCACAGCATTTCTGTGCATGCAATGCTCGATCGAGATAAGAGAATTGGTATCAAAAAAGCGGGCCTCAAGGTACTAGATTCGGAAAGATGCAGACCGTGGTCATCAGTGTCGTTCAATACCTGCCAGCGAAATTTTCCTTTGCGTACTGCTCACAAGCCTAGCTGCATTAGTATTCGACACAGGATCAAACTCAGCAGCGACAACATACTTTTGCCGGTTTGCCAACCTTTTGTCCGATGACCTTCCACTTGTTGGCGTCGTATTCTTTGATAGCGGCAAGCAGCGCCGCACTCTTCTTACTCATTAGCATGCTTTCACGGCATCATAGGCGCTCGGAACTCACTTCGTCTTCGGCGAACTCGGCATAGTGCATGTCCTTGAAGGTCAGTCAAAGGCTGTGCAGTGGAACAGTGCCGACCGTAGGCCTACCTTGTACCAGTGTTTCTTTACACTCCCCTCAGTTCGCTGTGGAAACGTCTACGATGGACCAGGTCAGTCACTTTCTACATCTAGGCGGATACTCCAATAGGCTCCAGTCGAATACAAACCCATCGAGGTCGTCTCCTTACCTTTGCAATCTCGCTCCAACTGTTCCCAGCATCTCTCATTTGTTTCAATCTCAGCTCTTCGGCTGGTGTCCAAGGCGTATTCGTCCGGCTCTTTTTAGTCTTGGGCTCCTGCGCAGTATCGGCATCGGCAGGCGGCGGCGGCGGCGGCGGCGGTGCTGTTGCTGTTGCTGTTGCTGTAGCTGCTGTAGCACTGCTTGCTTGGGCCTCTGCGCCTTCTGATGTCGCAGTCATGTGCTCTTGAGACTGGCTGAGCGTCACAGACTTGCGCTTTCGGCTCGTAGGTGATGGCTGTGGCTGCTGGGTGCCAGTGTGCGAGTCTGGGTTTGCCGCGGTGAAGGAGGCGGCTGGCTGCAAACTAGGTAATTCTGGCGGCGCAGAGTACTGCTGGCTCGGCTGAACGGTTGCAGAAATAGGTGAGGGCTTCAGGCTGCGCTTAGCAGAAGGTGAGGAGCTGTGTTGGGCGACGACGTCAGTACTCGCGGCAAGGTACCAAGCCAAAGGAAATGTATCGCAACGGCAAAACAAGAGCTCGACGGAAGCAAGCATTCTGGAGAGACTCACGACATGGCGGTAGACGCAGCGATAGGATCTAAGCCGGGCGACAGCGACACGAGACAGCTTCACTGGGGAAAACAGGGTGCAGCTATAGAGTGTAATGTCATGCTCGTATATTGCAACTTCAGAACCGCGTTCAAAGGGTACGACGGTCAGAGTTCAGGCGGTAGATCATCATGATATTCAAGTACAGTAGGCAGATCGCTAGATGGCCTGTCGATGGGAGCGCAGATCAAGTACAAGCAAGGGATACAAGAGGGTCAGGTTGGGGGCAGACGAGCGAATGAGCGCACTACAGAGGCATGGTGGTGGAGGACGACGGAGACGCTGTGAAGTTGAGTGGCCGGGTGCAGGCGGGGTCAGGCGGCAGTGCTGGGGAGCCCGAGTATTGGTACATTTGTGGTGGTCAAGTGCGGGTGATGCATCATGTATCTGTACATGGCGATGCGCTGCAGACAAGAAGCGGGGTAACAGGCAGGCTCCAGGGCCAGGCTTTTTGATGAACAGGTGGCTTGAAGGTTACGGAGACCGCCAGACGGGAGCTGAGAGGACGGGGCGGAGAGAGAGAGAGCAGCGCGTGACAGCTTCCTGCATCGACGAGTCCATGCGAGGCATGCAGAGCTTCCCCGATCGGGTGTCGCGACAGGTTCATCTGCACACGCAGCCAACGACGGGGAGCGGACTGGGGGAGAGTCACGATTTGATGCTGTCATGAGTGCCATGACAGTCGTCGTACGTGAGGTGACTTCAGACGTAGTCATTTGGAGGCGTCGTCGAGCCAAGTGCGAGTACGTAGACGCAGGCCGCAGTTCGCAGACTGGGCGATTGCTGTGCCGTTGTGTACGGGATCATGTATCTACAGTAGGTAGTCGCTGGTCGTGACTGCGCGAGGTTGTTCGCGCGTGCGGAAGGAGCGGGGCAGCGTGCATCGACCGGGCGCTCTTTCCTCGAGCTCGTCACTGGCGACGCCCGCACCTTCCCATCTGTCATCGGTCAACACCAAGGCCGGGAAGTCACGACTGCCACGGCGAAGGTCGCACAGGCAAGACCACGTCAGACGAGTGCGTCTGCTCTTTGCAATCTATCTCGCCATCTGCCATCTTCACCCACACCCCATCTACCACTACCAATGGCGCCATACCGCTCTGCTATTTAGCCCGTTGCCTCTCATGGCCGACCAGCGAGCCATCCCTGTCTTCTCCACACAACCACTGCAGCAGCGGCTTGCAACAGTCGCAGGTCGCGAAACAAGCTCTTCTGGCGCCCATTGCTGTCCAGGCGCGGGGAACAGACGACGCCATGATGCATGGCGAAAGCTGGTGTCCATAGCTTCCTCATGGGCCATTGATGCCTTTTCAACGCCTTTTGCCTCTCCACAGAGGGCCAAGCCCTCTCCTCCAGCGGCCTGATGCAGCGCCAGTATCACGATAAGCCACAAGCGTTTGAGCGAACCGCTCTGCCACAGCGCACCCTCTGACCGCCAGTAGCTCTGCACATGATCTGCCAAGCGATTTCGGCCTTATAGCGAGCCTGATGTGTTGATGCGATGGCGGAACAGGGCCATTCCGAACGTGCTTGTTTCGCCTGTCTCACAGCGTCGTCATCCGCGCCGCTGTGTGTTGCGCGTTTTCTCCACTCACCACTGTCCCAGCTTGCTCCCAGCAAAGCAAAGCATTAATGAAAGCTTCAGCAAGAAGCGTCGTCCAAGAGGCGGTGCCGCTCCCAGCCCGTGTTGTTGGTCGCTACTAACAAGACAGCCGGGCGCACTGTCCCCCCCGCAATCTGTCACAGCGCCTTCTGAGTTAGCGCCCGCCGTCGCTTGGGCACTGGTCGCTGCTTGTTTCCAGCTTGCCAAACATTGTCAAACCATTCGCCTCGTCAAAACTGATGCAAGTCCGACGCGCGCGGTTTTGAAACTACCCCCGTGGGACCCGATGAGGCTGACAAGTTTATGCGTCCCGCTCTAGATCTTCAGGGCCCCAGGCAACGACATCGCATGCCACCTCAGGTCCGCTCCCCTTCAGGCTTAACATGTCTCGTGTCAAGGTTCTTCTAAACATTTTGGATGCGAACGCCGACTTTGCCCCATGGTGCCGATCAGAAATCGAGTTGCAGAAGCGACGGTTTGAAAACGTTGCCAATCTCAGAAACTGCCACCGGCCACCAGCATGGTCTGTGGTTCTTGATCCGGACCCGTTTATCGCTCGGTGGCCCAACTCTATAATTACTCCAGTGCCCCAAGTTTCGAGGCCTCAACCGCATCTGTTCAATCGGCATCAGTCTTTTGTTTTCTTAGCAGCCTTGTAATACATTCTTTTACTTCCCACTGGTTTGGGCTGCCCTACATTCACTTTAATCCACAATCAACATTGCTGCGCAATCTATCTTCTACCAACACAACGTGTAATACCTTCTTTTCAGAGCCAGCCTCATCATAACTCGATTACCATACTCCGACCCCCATACCGGACACGACTCGACGATTCTTCAATCCGAAAACTTCAACAATAACAACATCACTTTCAACAACACCCCGGAATTTACAGTCCCTACAATGCTTCACCACCAGCCCCAGGTTCTCTCTCCTCTGCACGAGATGAACTCGCAGTCCCCCTCCGACACTTCCAACCTCCGATCCCGCAAGATGTCGGCGGGTGGAAACAGGTCCTGGTCCGAAGAAGAGGTACGATACAGAGCTTTCACTTCTCAACACCCAGTCTAACATCCACAGGAAACCTACCTTCTTCAGACCCGCATGCAAAAGATGCCCTACAAGCACATTGCTGCTCACCTTAAGAAGACTGAACTTGCATGCCGTCTCCACTACCACCAGCTCTCCCACGGAAGCCATCGCCGCAAGCGAACCAGCTCCGTCTGCTCAAACGCCTCAACCAGCTCTACTGGTACTGGTCCTGCCTACGCCATGGCTATGGACCAGGATGCCTACTCTCAATCCTCGCGTCACAGCTCGCCCCTGAGCTACAATGGCAGCCCCAACCTCCGTGCCGGTTCAATCAGTACTTCCCCCAACCGTGCCCAGCACAAGATCCTCCTGCCCAAGCCTCGCACCCTCACTCCCCGTGAATCTCCTGAACCCTACAACGGTCTCCGCATCAACACCGAGGTAGCTTATCAGCCCAAGATTGTCGACACTGACCGCCTTCGCTCCATCTACGAGTCTCGCCGCCAGCAGTTCTGGGCCACCGTTGCTGCTGACTACGGTGCGGATGTTTCTCCTGCTCAACTCGAGGAGATCTGGCGCAACGGTTCCAACGCTGTCCGCCCTCCTACTCCTGAGGCCTCTCCCGACGGTAGCATCATGCACAACCCTGCATTCAAGCCTTCCTACCAGCCGTACAGCGAGCCCGCCAAGCACTACAGCCCCATGAACCCCATGAACATTAGCGCTGTCTCGGCTCCTGAGCGCATGCCCTATGTCCTCCCCATGCCCGTTCCTTCTTCCGGACGACCAAGGGCTGGTACCTGGAGCTCTGCTCCCAGGGACAACATGCCCATTGCTAGCCTGCTCAACGAGTAGAGGTATCAAGACAATGTAACACGACCTCCTTTCTGTATTCGATGAACTCTTTTGGTCACAGCTTCTGCGCATGGAACACGATATGGCTCACGGCACGACAAAAACAATTTCTCATTCTTACTTTCGTTTACTCTTATTCAATCCAACAATTATTTTCTTCTATAACTCGACGGTGGTACGTCCCAATGAAGCATGGCATGCAAATATCTCCGGGTTCCTTGTTGAAACACTGCATGTTTCGGTTTCAAGAATCTCCTGCGTTCACAAGCGCATTATCTTTGTTATATCGGCGAACTTCGGCGCATTCTCTTGGTTCTCACTTTGCACTACAAACAATTCAAGCAAGCATGTTGTCTAGCGTTTGCGCATTTTTAGGCAGGGGTTTGGGTTTGGGTTTCTCGGGGTTTTAGGAAACTAGATGGGTTTTGGGGTAGCTAGCACGCATTACACATCTTTCAACATTAGATAAAATCCAGATATTACAATTTCCACTACACTTGCAGTATCAATATAAGACGTGCATTACTACTTGTATTTGAGATCTTGAAATTAGGGAACGCATCATAGATTTGATGTTAATACCAGCGATGTTATATTGTTACGAACTGTAGTCCTGGCATCTCGCTTCGGAGGGGTAACTATACCTGTTCCAGCACGCTAAGCGAACATGTCAAACTCGACGACAGTTATGCCTGACCTCTTACCTCTAAGGCGCGCAATTTTTGCCTGTCAGCTTTCCTTCCAGCCCAGCCACGGGCGGGTAGGTAAAGAGGTGATTTGGGAAGAGATGGGCAGTATACTTTATGCTCGTGGGATGCGATCAGCGCACTTTTTTCAATGGGGATTTCTGTTTGGAATGCCGTTGTGAGGGGAAATATACGGAGTGGGATAGATGACGGACTGCCCCGTATCCGTATGTGTCTACACACGCAGTCACCAGTCACATGTTCGAAGAGAAACTCTTCTAGAAAAAGAAACGGGTAAGGCACAGCAAGTCAAGGCAGCCAAAAGGCCAAACTACCGATCTTGACAGATAACGTCCCTTCCCTCCCCCCCCAGCCCTTCCAACGTTCGTTCGTTGCCTCGTGCCGTTCCCACACACACCTCGGCCCGGCATTTCACGTTCCCCCCACCCCAGTCTCAGCCGCAGGCCCCAAACCAGGAGGACGGGAAAACCCCCCGTTGTGAAACATTTGCTACCGCACCATGGTCAAACACCCGTTCTTGCTTGAACCGTGCTCTACTTTGGTTACTTTGTGCTGGAGTGTCAATGGCGGGAACAAGTTGCCGTTGAACGGGTGCTGGGTCTAGCGCTGAGATGGGGGATGCCAGCAGCCGCCCTCGCTGCCAGTGCCAAGGCTTTGCTGTGCTGGTTCTGATACCGAGTGCGAGCCCGAGCCCGCTGACGTGGATAGGTGGGCGGGCGGACGGAAAGGCGGCTGGTGGAGGTTTCGATAATGG